CTATTGCGGCAACGCGCAAAAAGCTCCTACATTCGAGGAAGAGCTGCGTCCTCCGTCGTGGGGCATCATGAACCCGCTGGCGCCGGGGTTGCGGCCGAACAGCATCCCCACGCCGGCGGCCGTTGCGAGTCGGGGTTTCGCGACAGGCCAGAGAGGGGGCGGGCGCGGCGGGGGGCTGCAGGAAGGGCAGGATTTTTCATCCCCGGAGTCGACAGGGGCCCGCGGGGGAGAACTGTGACAAGCAGCAGTCAGTGAATCGCTGGCGCTTTTTTTGTTGTTGTAAGGACGTCAGGTTTTGTGTTGTTTTGTTTTGTCCCGTTTTTCGTTTGGGAGTAAACTTTTGTGTTGCTCTTTGGTACCCTTTGTATGTTCACGTGTACTTTGTGTTGGCAGGGGAGGTAGGATAATTACTATAAGTGCCAACCGCGTGATGGTGTGGGCCTTTGTTTGTACTCTCTCCCCTTGTTGGTGCGGAGCAATGCTACGGCCAGAGCGCCTGCCACTGGGGAGTGAGCTTGGATTGCATCGTGTGAAATGGCGCGGGTACCCTTGTCTTTCAAGTTTTTCATGGAAACAAGGGGTGTTCCGTAGAGAAGGACAAGAAAAAAGGAAAGATCGACGGGTGTAATTACGTGTGAGAAACGAGAGCAGATATCAGGATTTCAGGCGCGGCGTGCGATGATGTAAAGCATCAGGCACTTGGGAAGCATGCAGGCTATGCATAGCAGACACAACCAGCAGCCGTGGTGACAGCATTGAGGGTGTTACTACTGTTGTTTTATTATGCTTCGTATTTGTTTAGTTTTACCCTCCCGTCACTTAGGACTAGTCTTACCGACAACGGCGGCTGGCTGTGTTTGGTCCGGGGCCAGCATAGCTGTAGCATGCTTTTGTGCTGACCTGTGCGTCATCTCGATGCGTATGCTCGAGGCTCCTCTGGTGGCCGGAACGGGTGCAGGTCTTTCTCTCCTCTCGAGTTGCTTGCTTCTTGCTTCGCTTTTTTGTTCCGCATCCTAGGTCATGCGTACGTGCGTAGCTCGTGGTTTCAGAACATGATCTGCATGTCTTGTGAAGTAGAAAGGAAGAGCGGCTTGACTGAGGCGAGTGGCGGACAGCGCGCAGCAGCAGCAGCAGCAGCAGCAGCAGCAGCAGCCACAACCAGCAACGTGCGAGAAACGGGGTGCGTCTGTATTGGGGGGAGGCGGGCACACGCCCTGGGGGCTTGCCGTCCAACGCGTTTCGATTTTGTTTTGTGTGTGTGGGGGGGTGGTATCAACAGCTGGCTCGTTTTCACCTACTCGGCACGTAGCCTAGGCAACGGTCACGTGATTCACCTTTATGCCCTCTGTCCATCTTCAACTGAAAGAAGTTCCCGGTTAGTGGGTGGCACGCACACGTCGTGAGGATTTCTTCAGGATGGTTGCGCAGATCTATTTTTTCTCATTCTGCTTAAACACCAGAAAGTTGTGGTATGGTCTGTAGTACGATTTGTTTGTGTTTTCCCTCTTCAGCAGCGAAGATTCTGATACCCTTTTCGTCACTTTTTTTTTATTTGGACTGCTATGAGGAGAAACGTCCGAAAACCAAAAGACGTGCTCAAGATTCTTTGCCATGGCATGTGTAGCAAGAGTTTCATGCGGAGTAACATGGGACCGACGGTAGGTGCCTGTACACGTTCTTGTTTCTTTTGCGTTCGAAACAGGCGTTGCTGGTTGCGATTTTCACTCGGAAAAAGAGACAAGAGCCGTGCACGATGCATAGGACCTGGCTGGCAGCATGTCCGAAAAACGTCGGTCCGATGCAGCATGCGTTGCTACGAAAGCTTGACAGCTGACTGTGTGACGGATGGATGCGTCATGTATAAATTAATTGATTGAATTTTGGTGTTGGGGGGGTATAACAGGTGTTTGGTGCTGTGCTGTACTATACATTCAATCAAATACAATCGTTGGTTTTTGGCACAAAGAGTTTTTCTACTATCGTCAAATGGCCGCATTTCGTGTTTGTCTGCCCGTGTGATGATGACTGCTAGGATTTATTTACCATTTGATGTGTGGTCTTGTCACTCGGCTAAAAATTGGTAATATTTTGAGTATCATTAGCCTTTTGTAGGAGCTGGATGGCGAAAGACGGGAGGTGGCGCTATCCAGGGGGGAAAGTGATCAAATCCATTCATGGTGCGCGGCAGGACTACTATTTCCGGCTTGATATGGGAGGTCATAGATGACGATGTTGATGGGTTGGCTGGTTCACCCTGCCCCAGTATTTTGAGTTGAAGTTCTGCGGGTGTAAGCTGTTTGTGTCTTTACTATTTCCATCGAATCGGCTGAACACTCAAATGAAAAGACGACGTTAGTCTGAGTGCGGTTGAAAACAGAAAATGGTTGAAGGCCATTCTCTCGGACTCCGTGAGGGGGCGTCGTGGTGGAGGCTATGTGTCTGTGTGTGGTGCAGAAAAAACCACACCTTGTAGTCTTCAAAGCGCGTTTTGCTCACAAATGTCCCCCTCTCTAACTAACAACAATGAATTCAACACGAGAAATTTGCGGGCAGGCAACTTCTACATGTACTAGTATCTCTTGCGTGCATCGCGTCGTCGTTCGAATCGTTGAAATCTTTCGGGAAAAAATATATTAAGCTGTTGTCGGTTTTACGCCAAACTTGCCGTCTCTCCGGGGACGGGCACAGAGCGATCGATCAAAACTGGTAGATGGTACCTTCCGTCCCTGTGTGCTTGCTTATTCCGAGAGGAGATAACCCACATGATGATCGACACGACCATGTCACGACTACCGCGAAATAAACCGTTCCAATCTGTTTCGCAGCAGCCAAACTCT